TTAATTTAAATTCTCACCTAACTGGTTTTAGCTGTGGTTTGAGTACCCTGGGGGCAGGATAACAAAACCGATTAGGGAAGTTTATTTTAGAAGCTGACTTTAAGGCTTATGTGAAGATCTCTTAGAACTTTGGGGAATTTTTTAGCAGTGTTAAGATAGAAAAGTAGGGCGAAGTGTTGGTTTTTAAGGAAACGTGCCTCAGATCAAAATCTCAGGAGATTTCACTTAGTCCCCAACACAAGCCTTTCTGCAGGTTTAAGAGACTGGCAACCGTCCTAGTGACTCTTAACTGGTTGTTGTGTTACCAGGTTTTTGTATTAGAAAGATGTATAGATAGAAGGTCTTTTGTTTACACCTGTGCAGGCAGTCGGAGTCCGTTAGAGGGCAGAGAGGCCTTCAGCTGACATCAAGGAGTAGCCCTGACCAGAAAGCTTCAGTTGCCTCTCTGTCTTTAACGTTCTCACGTGAAGACTCAGACCGGAAATAAAAGGAGGAAAATAGAAGAGACTGCCAGGCCCAAAGGGTGGGGTGGCTTGGGGGCACAGCTGCCTTTTTAGTCTCCTGATGGGAGATGAAAGAAAAAAAGATTTTTGTTGCTCTCCTGGTGGGAGAGATACTCACGAATTCTGCGTTTCAGGGGGCGCCAGCTGCTGGCTGGCACGGAGTTCGGAGGCTCTCATGTTGGGCACCAGCTGTGGGTGCACGGGGATTTCGGAGCGCCAGCTGCTGGCGTGGCGCCGGTCTCTTGCGCGCCGCTGGAGCGGGTCTCTGGCTCTCCGCGGCTACTGGACGCTGGCGCCTCTTGGGGTCACTGTCAGCTGCTGGGTGAGTTCCGTTCCAAGCTGCCGGGCACTCCCTCTGTGTACACGATCCGTTGGCCACCGGATCTCGAGGGGAGGTGCAGGAACGGTGAAAGCAGGATCTTCGCGAGTGGTTGCTGACAAAGGGACAGCCCCCTCCGGGGAGATTGTATCACAGGCTGGTTCCGGGCGCATTGAGACTCAGGATTCAGTGATACAGCTTCACACAAGTGATACAGCTCCGTGATACAGCTCCGATTTATTAGGGGGAAACCAGGATATTTATAGTGTGGAGGCAGTAGCAAAAGCTTTAGTTGATAGGTGCTTTGTAGGATGTCTCATTTACATGTGGTGGTGGGCTTCTGTCAGGCTGTCAGACAGTGCCTGATTATCACACAGGAAAAACCTGGCAGTTTTTGTGCCGGAGGACATGTATCTGTGACAGGCACTTCAAAAGGTGAGTCAGGAAGAGAGTAGGAAGGCGCCCCGCTGAGAAGAGGAGTCTCTCCATTTGCGCTGAGCTGGCTTGCGGCCATCCGGACATGGAAAGACTACAACCCAAAACAGCAGGGGTCCCCAACAATGCCCTGCATGGGCAAGGCATGATGTTCAGGGCAACCTTATCCCATAGTTCCTGGTGCTGGCTCATGCCCAAGGAACCCCCAGCTATCTCAAGTCCAGGAAAGTTGAGGGTTCTTCAGGTCTAGGTTATGAGCTCCATGTGGCCTGAGTTAAAGTGACAGGAAGATGATGTGCTATGGCCCACAGTTACTCAGGAAGCAGAGACACCTGGTGGCTCAAGCTTCTTTCATTGGTCCCCGACTGCATGGTGTGTTGGGGCAGGGGGCCGCATCTTAGAACCTTAAAGATGGTCCCACACCTAAAATAGAGACTCTGGCCATAGGCCTGGGCATCAGCCTTCTTCAGTATCCCAAGGGAGGGTCCCAATGTGCGTCCTGAGCCCCAGTAAAGACCTAGATGGTCCCTGTGGGTGGTAGCTGTGGTCACACATAGCACACTCAGTGGAGGTGACAAGGAGGCCATGTGCCCAGGCCATCCAGTGAGCAGCCTGCTAAGGTGGTGTGAGAGTGCTGAGTGGGGATGCACTGTGCTCAGCATGAACCTACAGAGAGGAGCCTGGAGACTAAGGCTGACGCTGGATCTTGGGGTGTATAACGATGAGCATCATGGCAGCAGCATAAATAAGATGATGAGGTCATGGGGCTCTCATGTCTGCTGCTGCCCCACAGCTGGCTGCTGTCACTAGGGATGCTGGGAGAGGACAGGGCAGGTGTTGGTTGGAAGGAGGAAGAGGAAAATTTCTTTGTTTGCTAGGAGATAATCTTGGGTGCAGAATTCCTGAGGAGTCCAGGACGACAACAGCAGATTTAAGAAAGCTTTTGGCAGGGTCAGAGGGCACAAGATCCATATCCAAAAATCAGTCGAGTTAATATGTGCCAACACCAAGCAAACCGAAATTGAGTCCAAAGAGGTGTGGAGAGGAGGTGTTCCCACACAGCTCCTAACCAGTGGTGCCACAACCGTCCCCAGGAATCTTCCACTGAAACAACATCCTAGAGCAGAGTAGAGCTCAGCTCAGCCTCTCTTCGGTGAGCATGTATGAGGGTGTGGGATGCTGTGACCTTGGCAAGCCTGGTGTCTGCATGATGCGGGGTCATTGGCTCCGGTCCCCCCTTGTTCTCTTGGGACACAGATTATGCCTCTTTCCCATGGGGCATTTAAAGTTATTCCACTGCTGTGCTGCACCCTGACTTGGTTTTGGCCTCTCTACGTCCTCTAGTCTCAGATGACCACATAGCTGTTTGCTGCTAACCAGGCTCCTTGCAATGTGGTATTGGGAGGGTGTCAGTGGGGAAGGAGGATCCCCACAGGGCCACCTGCTTCGGGGGCCTCAGGAAAGGCAGTGCTAGGACTGTGTCATGTCTGGGGTAAGCTGATGGTCTTTGCCAGGAGTGAGGAGAAGGACCAGCCTCCCTCCTAAGAGCCCAGAGCTGTTCCCAACCTACACCCTCCCCTTACCATGCTATCCAGTGTGCCGTGTCTCCTTGGGGACCCAGCTCAGCAGCCAGTTCCTCCTCACCCTGTTACGTTGTTTTGAAGTTGTTTTCTCGACTTGTGAAGGGGCTGTTGTGATAGGAAAGTAGCTTTGGGTTCCGTGAAGCACTTTGATCTGTTCAGGGAAACCACAGGAGCAGTGCATTCACATGTTCCATAGCTATGGACAGGAGTCTCTCTGCTGTCCCAGTCTTGGAGTTGGGCTCCATCTGGACCCTGAGGTCCTTTTAGTCACTCTGCCTAGCCCTATTGTGAGCCTCTTTGCACACAGCACTGTTGCAGGCTCTGGCTGCACCCTCAACACCCTGGCTAACCTTTTGATGCGCCCCCTTCCCCCAGAGTCAGCTGGAGGTTCACCAAGATGAAGGGATGGTCATCTCCCACATGGCTGTGGCTGGCGTTGGTATTTGGATTGCCTTCACCTCAGGATCCACCCTTCGCCTCTTCCACACGGAGACCCTGAAGCACCTACAGGACGTCAACATTGCTGCCCCTGTGCACAGCATGCTGCCAGGTACCACATGGGAGAGGGGAGGGTCCCACCAGCATGCTGCCAGGTACCACATGGGAGAGGGGAGGGTCCCAGAGTCACTGCCCTGTGCCCAGCATGCTGCCAGGTACCACATGGGAGAGGGGAGGGTCCCAGAGTCACTGCTCTGTGCACAGCATGCTGCCAGGTACCACATGGGAGAGGGGAGGGTCCCAGAGTCACTGCCCTGTGCACAGCATGCTGAAGAGGAGGCGGCAGCATTAGTTCAGGGAGCAGCAGGAGCAGCAGGCCACTGGTGCACATAGAGTCAGCATGCCCCAAGGCCCCATGTGTGTACATGCGACCACTGTGTGTGGTATCTGACATGAGTGTGGGCAGCATGTATGAACCTGTAACCCATATGCTGAACAACTGTTCAGCCTGGCAATGAATGTGAAGCCTGTGTGGGTGAGAATGATGGACCAGATGGAGATGCCCCAAGTGAGATGAGGCGACTCCATTTGCCCCGGATTGGCCATATTGCCAGCAGGAGTCACTGAAGGCTCTGGATAGGGAGCGGAGAGGCCACTCCAGGGTGAATTTGGAGAAGATGGCCTGCAGGAAGGGGCCTGGGTGGGTCCTGCCCTTCATGGACGTGCGCCTTCTCACAATACAGGGAGAGTTGGAGGGAAGGTGGGAATGGAGGGTACAGGAATGGGCTGGATTTGGAAAGTGAGCGAGTGGGGTGAAGTCAGGGCCCTGAGCCAGTGCCTGTAACTGACGTTCTCTGCTGGATGGTGTTCACATCATAGATTAGCAGTAGGAGATGGGATCTGGGAATGTGTGGCACCTTGTTCAGGAGGCAATGAGTTAGGTGCCTGGCATTACTCAGACCAGGTGCCTGGCAGTGCCTGTGTGTGCGTGGTCTTGTGGTCCTTTAGAGGTGGCTTTCCTCGGTGGGGTTGGTGGGGGACTCTGAGTGGGCTCATCTGTTTAGTGGAGAGGACGTCCACAGAGGAAAGGAAGGAGCTAGGGAAAGCTGCTGTCCTCTGTTCCAGCCACAGGCTGAGGCTTCTGACAGCATTCGTTTGTCCCCCGTTCTGGACAGTGCAAGTCCAAGCAAAGGCACTGGTGTGTTGGGTTCCTGGGAGGGCCTGCTTTCATGCATGGTGTTTTCTCCCGGTGTCCACACATGGCAGAGAACACCAGCTCTGCTCTCTGCCTATGAGGACACTGGTCCCAGTATGAGCCTAACCCTCAGAAGCCCCTGTGGCCTCATTTGATCCTGTCACCTCCATCAGGCCCCACCTCCTAAACCCAATGCCTACAATGTGAGAATGTACAGAGATACAGTCAGCCCATCAACGGTAACCATTTTTGATACGGTGATTTAGGGATCACAGTACAGAAAGGGTATGCACCTGTCCTGTAATAGAGGGATGAGGAGGCAGAGACAGGTCAGACGGCAGCCTCAGAGACCTGGGGGACATAGCCTGGGGCACAGTCCTTCTATAGGATTGGCTACAAATAATTGTTTGGATATTGAGGATATTTTAGTTAGGAAAATGGAGATTTTTGTACTATATGTTTATATTCAGAAAATCAAAATGGCTTCTGGCCCCCAAAGCATGTTGTTTAGGACCTAAGGGTTGTTCTTTCAAGTGCTGGCCACCGGGATGGTTGGAATCTATTATCACCCTTGGACAGAAACCAGTTCAGAGTCACTGATACAGCCACTGGGATTGTTGGAATCTATTATCACCCTTGGACAGAAACCAGTTCAGAGTCACTGATACAGCCACCACTACAGGCATGCATCTGGCCAGAGAGTGCTCTGCAGACTCTTTCTTCATGGGAAGGAACAGGAGTCAGACAGTATTATGATAAAGGTTTCTGGGGCCCAGATCCTGACCCAATGCCCTGTGGCCTTCAGGGAAGCAGCTGTGGTTGCCATGGCTCCCAGAATCCTGAGAACCAGCCACAAGAATGCATCTGGCCATGGCTCCACCATTGGAGTCCTGCTCTGCTTTGCATTCATTTGCAGTTTTGGTCAGAGGCTGGGGAAGGGAGGTGCTGGCAAGTGTGAGTGTAGTTTGTGTGTTGAATTTTTAAAATATAATCCTTGTATGTGACACAGTGAACCAAACAGCATGTACCCCAGACAGTAACGCCAACTGAACAGTCAGAGGTGGTTCTGGGACTCTCCGCCTGCTGACCCTCATGCTCCTCCTGACCCTCTATTTCCTGGGTACCGCTATGGCCTCCACATCTGCCTGAATTCAGAGGTCTCTGTGTTGTGCCTGGTCTGTCCTGTGGTAGAGAAGGCAGGATAGTGCCCAGCCTCTGAGCAGAGCTGCTGACAGCACCCCATTCCCCCAATGTCTATCCCATGCACAGAGCCACGGGCAGGGTACGTGTTCTCTCTCTCTCTCTCTCTCTCTCTCTCTCTCTCTCTCTCTCTCTTCTCTCTCTGCCATGCTGGGCAGACAGTCAGTTCTGGTTAGGGAAGCGTTGTGTGATTACTCAGCTTGGGTGTGTGGTATTCTGTAGCTGAGCCACAGGACACAGTGCAGTCTTATTTCTTTTCCGTAATACTTGCTACTCTGAGCCAGTGTTGTCCCTGCTTAGACCTCTGCAGTGTTTGCAGTTGACTAAACACTGACTTGTCCTAGCCTCCCCTCCTGAGCCAGACCCTCAGTACCAATAGATTTATAAGGATCTGTGGACTATTTTCCTAAAGCCTGCCCACCTCACCACCTCTCTTCTCCCTGGCCAGAGGGCAGTATTCTGAGTCTGTGAGTGGTACAGTTTGAATCTAATAGTGTGCCCTGAATACTGATTAGTTAAAGACTTTTTTGGCCTTTTAAGGGATGACTGGATCATGAGGGCTCTAGATTAATCCATTGATGGATTCGTAATTTGATGGTGTTGCTGTGGTAAACCAAGAAATGGAGTCTAACTAAAGAAAGTGTGTCCCTGGGGCAGGGCCTTGAAAAGATATGTTCCCCCTCTGTCCTCCTCCCCTCTTACCCACCAAACTCCCCGGCTATCAGGAGATTTGATCACAGCTCTGGAAGACAAATGAGATTGTCCTGGGTATAGCCTGTGTATCCCTCTGTAATGGATCTTGACCTAGTCCTGCGCAGGCTACCTGTCTGCTTCACATGGAATAGACAGGTTCATTTGTCCAGAGTGAAACTGGAAGGCCTGTTGTTAGACTGCACTCAGCATTGTGTGCTATGTTTAAAAAGCTCCCAGTCTAATAGCCTTGCAGCAACATCACTTCCATTCTTCAGTGTGCTAACTGGAATGTGGTACCATCCCATGGCCTGATCACATGGGAAGGCTAACTCAGAGCAAAGCTATGCCACACCAGGACCCAGGTTTTGTCTTCGATGTCCCGCAGTGGCTCCTAACATCCCTGTGTGGTACTGTGCTGATCTCCATTGCATGCTGTGGTTTAGAGCAAACGAGACCAAGAATCATTTCTTGCCTTTGTTCAGTCATGTCAGCTCAGTCCAGTGTTTGGTACCAGCGACCTCACTGTCTGGGTACTGTTGGTGCCACAGAAATACACAGTCAAGTATGGGGAAGTACCCTCTCATGCTGCTGGATTTAAACTTCAAGCAGCCCTGCAAGTAAAGACACACTGAGGTATAAACAGCAGAACTTGAAAAAGAAACGGTACCATAAGTCACATCTCATCCAAGCTGTCAGAACTTGATCAGAACTTCCTTCTCTCCAGAGGTCCCAAGGCCACCCCATGGAACATAAGAATCTGTTCCTAGCACTTGGGTCTTCTTTTTCCACTTGGAATTCAATTCTGAGACCATTTAGCAAGGCTCCTTCTGTAAACCACACCAAGCACGTGGCAGACTTGGCCTGGGAACCTGGATGCGTTTGTTAGAGCAGTCACTTGACTCTGGGAGGAACAGAGCGTGTGGCTGCAGAGTGGAAGGCCCTGACCTCCTCCGGGTCCTGAGTAGCTACGGTGTCACCACACAGATGTTTCCTGCTTTGTGCTGAGTAATCAAAGCAGGCAGTACAGGGTAACAAGGTGCTGTGTCACATTTAGCCCCTCTGTGCCCCTGCTGAGCGGATGCAGCCTCCAGAAGAGGTTGTGGCCAAATTAAATGGCCAAAAATTCCATTAAATAATTAGTGTGATTCTTCTTATAAGTGCCCAAGACTTTGTCATAAGAGAATCAGTGAGTTAAACTGGACTCCTGGTTGTATGTGAATTGGAACTCAACACAGTCACACACAGTAAGACACTTAGGTCTTATGCCTCTCCTGCCCTTCTGACAGTGACCTGGACAGCTCATGAGGAGAGCACTTGAAAACTGCTTGAAATCAGTCAGTTCCAGGTTTTTATGTAGCTTCTGAATGCTTTCAAACCACTTAGAATAGCATCTGTGGGTTTACCTGCTTCTGTCCTTTTTTGTCATCAATTTTTTAAAATTGAGAAGTAATTTCTGAGCTGGGTGTGGTAGCACACGCCTTTAACCCTTTAATCCCAGCACTGGAGAGGCAGAGACAGGCAGACGTCAATGAGATTGAGGCTAGCCTGGTCTAGTCTACTAGTCCACATAGTTCCAGGCCAGCCGAGGCTACAGGAGACCCTGTCTCAAAAACAAAACAATTCTCTGTCCCATTACCATCCCTTCGGGCCAGTGTCTCAGGGCTCACAGGACGCCTCTGGGAGGCTCTGCTTGCCATGCACCTAAGCAGTTATGATCCTCCCAGCAGCCATACAGGGTTTCTGTCTCCCACCATCCCCCTCTCCTTCCACATGCTGACTGCTCCCCTTCCAGGGTGCAGGTCCACTCTAACCCTGAACTGTGCTCTGTGCAGTCCCCTTGGACAGACCCACTTCTGGAGGGAGGGATTTCTTTGTAAAGGCGATAGAATATTTCTCAGATTCTTAGGACATTTAAGACAACATAGGTATAAAAGTGAAATCAATCTCTCTCTCTCTCTCTCTCTCCCCCCTCTCCCCCTCCCTCCCTCTCTCCACACACACACACACACACACACACACATTTTACATGTGGAGGATTCAGAAGAATGAAGGCCACAAAATGCATTTATGAATTGAAACAACTAGTGACTGTTTTGTCCCCCTTATGTGTTGATTATGAATCATTTTTAAAATTTATTTGATAACCACATGATTAGAAGAAGCATTTCATTACAGCTTTAACATATTCAATAACAATTTCCAGAGTAAAGATGCATAGCTTTCAAAACTGGCTTTAAATTTTTAGGTTCACAGTTGAATTAATACAGTTATAAAACATTGAACTCAGTATAAACCTTTTAAGACATAAATTTGAATGAGGTTTTAACCTTTAATAAATGTTTGCATATGTGTCTCTAATCTCTATGTATCTGATTATTACTAGTCACAGTCAGTTACTTT